AATTGAATATCCAGCGGTAACTTGGGCTGATGTACATAATCGGTACAAGTCAAAGATCAGGGTCGAGGATGATCAATTGGGGACCCCGTCCGGTTCCTGTTATCCAAACAGGCCCATCGGCAGAACTCAAAGGGAAATCAACAGAGTACCCCTGTCGAACAGAGATCGGTACCAACCATACAACGCAGATCGTAGAAATAGCGGCCCAGGACACAATCCCATCCGAAATGATCGAAGGAACGATCGAGGACAGAGCTTTCAAGGGCTCATGAGCAAAAGTGGCTTCGATAAACATGTCGATCCCAGAGAAGCACCACGATTGTCAGAATACAACTTCAGCATCGATGCATCAGGTATTGTGTCAGCCATTGGGAGAATCAAAGATACTAGATGGCCTAGACCCCCTACAAACCGATCCATCCCAAAGAAACTCCAATCAAGTATGTAAATACCATGGTACACATGGTCATAGAACCGAAGACTGCAGACAACTAAGGGAGGAGGTGGCCCGTCTATTCAACGAAGGTCACCTTCGAGAATTCTTGAGCGACCGAGGTAAAAACCATTTCAGAGAAAGGGATGCAAATATGAAAAATCCGTGCGGATCCAAATATTTATATTATGGCACGTGAGTTGTCCCTGTAGTACGTGAGTTGTCCGTGTAGATTATAGTGCTTGGGCTGTAGGAGCCCCTTCGGAGTCTGTACACCCCCAGTGAGCGCAGGTACCCATTGAGTGTGAGTGCTGAGGGCTGGGAGCCCAGTGAGTGATTGTTGTCCTGAGAGGTTGTACTTGTTTTTCATTTGTTGATGCACTTAGTTGCTATATGTTATTGTTGTGAAATTCCTGAAGAATTTTATATCTGATTTCATGAACTTGAACTGTATAAAATTGATTTGACTTAAACTACTGGATTTGAGAGCATGTCTATTCTTTGCTGGAATTACTGAAAATGAACTATAACTGTGTAGCTCGTCACTATCTTCAATTCTTTATTTATTATTGTTACTTGCTGAGTTGGTTGTACTCATACTACACCTTGCACTTCGTGTGCAGTTCCAGGTGCTCCCGGACATAGCGGGTGTTGATTCTCTTGCACAGTTGACTTTTTCAGAGATTTAGAGGTAGTTGTCGTGTTTCGCAGATCTTGTCTCTCCTTCCCTATCTCCTTGTTTACTGTATTTGGTCTCAGACTATTTTAGACCATATTTTTTCAGACTTGTATTCATATTAGATGCTCATGTACTCAGTGACACCAGTTTTTGGGAGTATTTATAATTATACTTGTGAGATTTCTTCCGCTAAATTAAATCATTATGTATTCGAATTTAAAAGAGATGTGGTTTATTGAAGTTATCGGCTTGCCCAATATTGAGATGGGTGTCATCACGACGTGTGAGATTTTGGGTCGTGACACATAGCTATTAAAAAGTTAGAAGGAATTATGCCATTTATGAAAAGAGATTTAATTCACCTTCTGCATAGTGATGTATCTATAGTTAAAAAACAAAGAGTAGAATAAAATTATTTTTAAAAAAAAGACTCAAGAAGTTTGCCCTAAAAAGAGATGAATGTAAACAATTCGTGGGCGATACAAATTGTATCCAATTATGATATTTACACATACGAGTTTTAGTTTACTTAACACTGGAAACAAATGTCTTAATAGTCTAAGCAACCTCATAATTTGGCACTTAGCGGAAATAATTCTTCTCCATTAAATAATTTTACCGAAAAGTCCTTAGTCATCCCAGTTTGAAATAATAAAACACATAATGTATCTTAATTGTATAGATTAACTTTTATATTCCAATGAAGGCTTCACATATCCGAATATATACTATATTAAAAGCACGTAGACCTTTAGCGAAATGACGTTCGTCTATTTTACTCTTTAAAACTAGATTTCACGTTGCACAAAACAGTAATTTAAATTATTTTCCTAAATTATAGGAATAGTCATTTAATTATTTCGATATATTTAGAAATACTCTCTTAGTTATTTCCTTAATCTTCATATAAACTCTATCTAGGTTTAGGGTATTAAATCCAAGTACTTCACTAGTATTTTTTATATTTGGTTTACGAGTAGTTTTTTGTTATAAAGGTTTTGGTTTAGTTGTCCTATTTTTTCTCTTTCTTCTTCCGTTTTAGGAGTTCTTTTTCAAGGTTTACAGGTATTTTGTTTAAATAACAACATAGTCATTTAAGTATTTATTATATTTAGAATTTTGATATCAACTAAATTTTTTGTTATTAAATCATGCTTGGGAGCAAGAACAAATATCTAGCGATCACAAACGTAGTAATCTCAAACGTTCATCAATTCTAATTTTTTAGAATTCAAATATCAAGTTTAACTAAAAAGATATTTTAATTTTAAGACCACAAAAGAAAGAGAAGTATTCGTAAGATTTAATAACACTAATGGTTGTATTAACATAAAAATTCAAAAGTGATATGTCAGAGTAATTTTTTATTATTCTGAATACGGATTTCTTATTGAAAAAAAATTATAATTACAGTTAGATATTTAAAACTTGGGAGAGCTAATATTAAGATTTGAATAAACAAAAACATCAAGAATTAATAATTAAGTCCTTAAATCAATTAAGTAAAAAACATCTTTGATTTAACTAATTTGCAAAAAATCTAATTCATTCTTTTCGAAATTTATCATATAAATCAGTTATAATATAGTATTAAGAGTCAAATTGTTAAAATGCAAACATTGAACAATAAGGATAAAACTTTAGAAGAAAATATATTCTAAGTGAGTTGTTATTACCCGCCATCCTTGTACATAGTGGTTGGGGAGTTCTCTCCAACCTACTAGGTCAAGGGTTCAAGGTTGAGTAACAGTATCAACAAACAACAACAAATGAGGTATTCTAAAATACCTTTAATTTTTTTTTTTTTTAAAAAGAGTTCTCATTAGTCCTTTTTTCTTTGGTATTCATTTAAACAAATGACAACTCCCTATACTAATTTTCTATGTATCATTTTACTTACCGTAAAATATTAACTTAATATAGGCATGTTAAAACTTAACATTTGATCACTTGATTTACATGTTTTTCCTGTCCTTCATTGATTGAAGCTAGGCACACGTGCAACACACGTACACTAAAACTAGTATATATCATACTATATTATAAGCATGAACACCTAAAGTCTAAATTTAAATTACTCAAATGTCCTTCAAAATCTGATATACCATTTTACCCTTTAAAACTACACTATTCATTCCAAATTAATGTATAGAGATGTAAAAACAGTTAACTGGAATATACAATGTATATTGTACTATTTGGCGTGGGGTATCTTTAGTACACTGAATTAAATAACCAGTATTTCCAACTAAATGTATACGGTAATAATTAGTAGGAGAAGAAAAGGTGTCATGAGTTACTCAACTTACAATGAATGGAGTAATTTATTTATTTCACCATAAAGCATAGCCATAAACGTTCCAGGTTGCAATGAATAGATCAATTAATTCGTTTCGCACTAATTTGTATTTGATAGCCTTTAGCAACGAGTGCATATGTATGCAGCCGACTTTTATTAATTTGTTTGTGTTTCGCGTTTTTGTTTAATTTTTTTTTTTGTTTGATCACGTGATTCGTTATATTGATGTTTTCAGGCAAAGATTGCAGTAGAGATTAGTGCAAAAGCAAATAGACAAAAAATCGAAAGAGCATGCAACAAACTTTGAATGTAGAAGTAGCCGAAATATATTTCAATAAGCTATGTGAAGGTATGATTGTGAACTTTTTTATTCTGCAACTAATTCTTCTATTTAAATGGAAGTCTACTAATATCTAATTAAAACCATAAAAAACTAAGGGATACATTGTTGATTAAATGAGATTAGAACTAGTGAAATTGGAGTTTATTAGTCTATAAGATTCTTCAACAAATGTTGAGGTTATGTTAATTTCTTTCCATTTAACTAGATTTACAATATATTTATCATGATGCAATTTCTTATTTTAATCCGAGCAAGTAAAATGTAACAGCCCAGTGCGTTAGTGATATTGTCCGCTCTGGGCCTGGCCGCTGTCGCTCCCTTCTAATTCAGTGAAGGGAGACAATTTGCTATCGCTATCGCTTGTAAGCTTCTGATAAGAATTTCTCTGGTACTTAAAGCATCTCTGCAAATAGGTCTTTTCGTGAGTGTTTAATTTATCGTGAGTGATCAATACTTTCCTAGCACCAGGAATTTTTGTCGTCGTTTAATTTAGCATTAACTGTGAACTAAGAGAGAACAATTCTCCCAACGATTCATATTTTCTATCTTATTATAGAACTGAACTTTCAATAATGTGATATAAGATACTTCTACGTATATGTATTATTTGGTTTCTGCTGATTATTAGATTGTTGTCCTTATATTTTTATTGAACAACTATTTCTGGGTTTGAGAAAAAAAATAATGAAGATATATTGTTCCTATTGTTAACCAAGTAAAATCATTTCCAAAGAGGGCAACATGATAACTGAAGAAGAATGAAATTAATATAATCTTATATTTTTAATATAGATAGGGGGAAAAAAAGAAGCTTATGTGCCCTTTATAAGTTTACTAGCAAACAAAGCTGAAGTGATATACTTTTTAAAATAAATAAACTCCACTTACAAACATGCGTTTAATAGAAAACAGAGGCAACCTCTACTAGTTCTCTTCTCTTTACTCTTCCAGATTTGGTGCTATCAATCTACTTAAATTGGTGAAATAATTAATATATTATAAAGTACTCAAATAGTGTTTCGGTTTTGTCATTGTTTGATAGATAGGAAGCATGAGTTCTTTTAACTCTTCCAGATTTGGTGCTATCAATCTGCTTAAATTGGTGAACTCTTCCAGATTTGGTGCTATCAATCTGCTTAAATTGGTGAAATAATTAATATATTATAAAGTACTCAAATAGTGTTTCGGTTTTGTCATTGTTTGATAGATAGGAAGCATGAGTTTTTTTAGAACTGATCGTATATGGATGTATAATAGGCTAGTGCCTAGTCGAAAAGGAGTTACTACTGAGTTCCTAGAGGGTATGGAGGGATTTGTAGAGTTTGCATTAATGCAACATGACTTCGTTTCTAATGGGAGTATAAGGTGTCCATGTTCAAGATGTAGAAATATTAGTGGGTTTCTTGAACCTCATGATGTTAGAGCACATCTGTACAAGCATGGTTTCATGCCTAACTATTATCAATGGGAATCACATGGGGAGCCTTTTATACCAATTTCTAGACCTCAACCTAGTAGGAATACAGAAAAAGAAATAGGTCCTGAGATAACAACAGAAAATCCGTATCGCACTATGGTATTGGATGCAATTGGTCATAGTTTCAACTTTGAAAGTGATGGATTTAATTTGGATGGTGAAGAAGAACAACCTCCTAATCGAAATGCTCAAGAATTTTTTGATATGCTAAAAGCTTCAGAAGAGCCATTGTTTGATGGATGTGTTAATCATTCTACGTTGTCAGCGGTCTGCAGGCTATTGAACATTAAGTCCGAGTTTAACATGAGTGACAATTGCTATAACCAAATTTTGCTATTTCTGAAGGAGCTCTTACCTGAAGATGCTAAGTTACCTAACGATTACTACAGGACTAAACAAATGGTTGCAAAACTTGGGCTAGGATATGAAAAGATAGATGTATGCAAGACAGGTTGTATCCTATATTACAAGGGTAATAAAGATAAAGTGAATTGTCCAAAGTGTGGTCAACCACGTTATAAGCCTAAGAGAGGAGGCAATGGAAGGCAAAATGATGTTGCATATAAAGTACTACGTTATTTTCCTATAACTACGAGATTACAGAGGTTATATATGTCAACAAAGACTGCTGAAAATATGATATGGCATTGGAAATCTCGTCGAGAACCTGGGGTAATGAGTCATCCAAGTGATGGAGAGGCATGGAAAAAGTTTGACCAGTGCCATTCTGGCTTTGCAGCTGAGCCTCGAAATATTAGGCTTGGACTTGCAGCTGATGGGTTTAGTCCATATGGGCAGATGGCCCATCCTTATTCTTGTTGGCCAGTAATCATTACACCATACAATCTTCCACCTGAAATGTGTATGAGTAGCCCGTACATGTTCTTAAGTCTTCTCATTCCTGGTCCAAAAAGTCCCGGAAAGAATATAGACTTATACTTACAACCGCTTATTGATGAATTGAAGCAATTATGGGTTGATGGGGTTGAGAATTATGACTCTTATAAAAAACAAAATTTTCAAATGCGAGCTGCACTTATGTGGACTATCAATGACTTCCCAGCTTACGGAATGTTGTCTGGTTGGAGCACCCATGGTCATTTGGCATGCCCTTGTTGTATGAGAAAAAAGTTAGGCGTTTCACTTAAAGGATGGAAGAAAAGCTTCATTTTTTGATTGTCATCGTCAATTTTTGCCAATAGGTCATTCATTTCGCATGGATAAAAAATTATTTTTAAAAGGAAGAGTTGAGCACTCTGCTCCTTCTCCTAGGTTGTCTAGTGAAGAAGTTTGGAACAAAGTGCGTGACTTACCAAATATTTTTGATGATCGCGCCTCCGATAAGTTGCCAGGATTTGGGGATCAACATAATTGGACAAAATAAAGTATTTTCTGGGAATTGCCATATTGGCGCACGAATATTATTCGGCATAATCTCGATGTGATGCATATCGAGAAAAATGTGTTTGATAATATATTCAACACAGTAATGGATGTAAAGGATAAAACGAAAGATAATTTAAAAGCTAGAATGGATGTGCAGACTTATTGCAATCGTCCCGAGCTTGAATTGAAGGAGTATCAAGGGAAAATTTTGAAGCCAAAGGCAGCATATTCATTGACAAAAGAACAAAGAAAGTTGGTATGTGAATGGGTGAAAAACTTAAGGTTTCCAGATGGTTATGCTTCCAATTTGTCTAGATGTGTAGACATGGAAGATTATAAATTATCAAGGATGAAGAGCCACGATTGTCATGTATTTCTAGAAAGGTTGCTACCAGTTGCATTTCGAGATTTTTTGCCAGAGCCAATTTGGAATGCCTTAACAGAGATTAGCTTATTTTTTAAAGGTTTATGTGCAACTGTTTTAAAAGTAGAAGATTTACAGAAGCTTGAAGAAAGCATAAAGATAACAATTTTCAAGATAGAGAAAATATTTTCTCCTGGTTTCTTTGATCCCATGGAACATTTGCCGATTCATTTAGCATATGAAGCAATAGTCGGTGGTCCAGTTCAGTTACAGTGGATGTATCCTTTTGAGCGGTAAGAGTCTAATTGGATCTTGATTAGATAATTAATTTATTTACTTAACAATATACTAAAATATATTTTAATTGCAGGGAGCTGCACACTTACAAAAAGAAGGCAAAAAATAGAGCTCGTGTCGAGGGATCAATATGTGAAGCTTATATCATTCAAGAAATTTCAACATTCAGTTCCCATTATTTCCAGCCTAACGTGCAAACTAGGCTTAATAAAGTTACTCGAAATGATGATGGAGATGAAGTTGATGCACCTGATGGTTGTTTGTCCATCTTTTTGCATCCAGGACGTTCGAGTGGGGTGAAAGAAGGTCGATATTTGACCGATGATGAGTGGGATGCGGCACGGTTGTATGTTTTATTAAATTGTGAGGAGGTTCAACAATTCGTCCTGTAAGTTGATATTTTTGACCAATATAGTGCATATATATTACATGAATGAGCTAACTTAACTATAATTTTATTGCTTTTGTAGTATCTTTGAACATGAATTGAAAAGGAATTTTGAAAATATTAGCCTCGAGCAAATTGATAAAGAGACAAATAGTAGATTTGCCAAGCGGTTTGAAACTTATGTGAGTAAATGACAATTGAATAAAAGAATTGTAGTCTTTATTTGTCCTGACTTAAAATTTATATTTAACTAAACATACTATTGGTCTATTTGTTTTATTAATAGGCTCCTAATCCAGCTAATAACATAACTGATGAGCGGTTGAAAGACTTAGCTTCTGGTCCTTATAAGTGGGTTGAAACATGGCCGCAGTATTTCACGAATGGCTATAAGTTCGACACTCTAACATATGGCTCTAACAAATCAACTATGAATAGTGGTGTGTGCATCAAAGAAAAAAGTTGGAGTGACTATGAAAGTGACTACTATGGATTACTCGTTGACGTGATACAACTAGAGTATTCTAATCCGACAAAGAAAAGAACTACTCTTGTGTTATTCAAATGTGATTGGTTTGATCCAACGGTGGGTCGAGGACTGAAGGTCCATAATCATTATGGTCTAATCGATATCAATCATAAGAAAAGTTTCTTGAGCTATGCCTATGAACCTTTTGTGTTGGCTGAACAAGCACAATAAGTATATTTTGCAGAATATCCCAGTAAAAGAAAAGATAGAGTTGATTGGTGGGCAGTGTGCAAAATAAAAGCTAGAAGCCGTATTGATTCCCCAAATATCCCGTACCAAGAAGATGAGGATTTATCCACAGTACTTTCAAATGTCATTGATGATCTTGATTGCTTACGCCATGAAAATGGTGAATTGGAAGTACATGACATTGAAAAAGAGATTGCTGAAACTGAAAGAACACATGATATTGATGCTATTGAAAATGACGAAGAGATAGAAGAATCTGATTATGAATCTGATGAAGATGAAGATGAAGAAAATGAACAAAGTGAATGAAATTTGAGCATAATTATGGTGAAAATGATGATATTGAATGATAATAAGATTGTTGGTATAGCAGATGGCTTTTTACTGTAACTTTTTTGTCTGTTTTCTTTTATTGCTATTGCTGGGTATAGCAGATGATTTTTTACTGCAATAATTTCTGCACATACCTTTCCTTTATGAGCTTTGCTGCTTTTCATGCTTAATTTTTGTTTTGTTTGTCCATGACCTCAAGGTTGCATTTCAATACTATACAACTTAATTTTTTGATGGTTGCTTTCTGAAATAGCTTGGACTATTACTATTGAATAATCATATCAGCAGATATATAATTACAAATGAACTCCTAGCCATCAATATATAATGAATTATGGACCCATAGCAACTATAATGACCTCTCAATTTATGTTAGTTCATTATCCCGATAAATGGTGGTGTTAATAGCTACATGTTCTAGTAATGTCTGAATAAGAAATGTTTCTGCAACTCTGTGCCTGAGTATTGAGTATGCATCATCATAACTGAATTCATCCAAAATTCTTTTTCTCTGATATCCATCTCCCAGCCAAATTCTAGTGCTACACCTCCTATTTTATATTTCACTTCTTCTGGTTGGTTGGTGTATTATTCTACTCTTCTTGTTAGATTTTGATCAGGAAGTATGACAAGAGGAAGAGGCACTAAACGTAGTTGGGGAGGTCGTGGGGGTATATCTAATAAAGGGGGAGGAGGCTACCAACAGCTACCAAACACTTCTCTGGCAGATATTAGTGAACCATCAACCCCTACATCTCAACAGGTAAGTTCAAACTAACACATTGACTCGTCTCATGAAAGTAGTTTTCGGCAGATTGTACATACGTCTCAAAATGTCCTTACTCAACCAACAAATTCTGCTTCTCTGAATATTGGTCATCAACAAGCACCCCCTTCTTCTCAGAATATTGGTCCTCAACAAGAAACTCCTCAAGATGTTTCAACTGAACAAACACTTGCATCTTATAGAAGTAGTAATCCACATGCAAGACGAGATACTATTTGTGGCATAAGATCCTTGAAAGTAAACGGAGATACGTAAGTAAATCTAATTATATAAGTTGTGGTAAAATATATTTGTATGTAATAATCTTCGAATAAAATGTTATATTGATTATTTTGTAGATTCTGCCCACATGAAGCTGTTCGGAATGTAACAATAGCCTTTAAGAAAAGCTTTAGTGGATCATGGAATAGTTGGAGCAAAGTTCCGGAGCATGTACGAGATAGATGGTTTAATGACTTCGAGGTATTTATAATTAACTGTATTAATTGACTTAACTTGATAAACTACATTAAATTTAATCTTTACTTTCTAATTGCAGAAAAAATATTCCTTTACTAGTGAGGACAAAGTGTTTATTCGAAGGACTTTTGAGCATGTGGGAAGTGAAAGGTTAAGTGACAGTTTGGGAAAAGCTAAAAGAGAATTTTCAAAAACAAAGAAAATGCCCGGATGGATTGCTAAAGTTCACTGGGACGCTTTGATGCAATATTGAGAATCTGACGCTTTTAAAAAAAAAATCAACAATCAACTTCAAGAACAGAATGTCATCTAATAATGGAGAAGGTCCTTCCTTACATACCGGAGGATCAGTTGCATTTGCTGAGTACAGAAGAAGACATGTATTTCTCTATCTTTTAGTATTATCAGTATTAGTCTAAATTTATTTTATGATTTATCCTGTAAACTAACAATATCTTTAATGATTGTAGAAGGAGTTAACGGGGAAAGATCTTCATAATGATTAATTGTTTCTGAAGACTCACAGAACCAAAAATGACAAAAAGTGGATTTGCGGAAAGTCAGAAAGGATGTGGGTATGTTTTTATCTCATTCTTCATTGCAACACCTGTTGAGTCTTTATCTGCTTCACACTATTACAGTAGATAAGCTTTCTTTATAGATTAGCTCCATCCATAGAATATGATAATTCAGATGCATTGACGAAAAAAGACAAGGGAGTGATGCACATAAAATTGCTGCTTTTTCTTAACTGTCTGTACATATTTTTGTAGTAGTCAGATTACAGTTCTATCACATTCAGATATAGCTTCAATGAATTTTGGGAAGTGAAATTAGGGAACATCAAAAGTACTAAGTTTTCAGATGTAGGAAGTATTTTTATATTTACAACTGTATATCTATCTTTAGACTGTAATTCCTTAAAGATTCTCCTTAACCATTAAAAAATTATTACAAATACAAATAAATGGACTAATATTTTTAATAATTACTTTTCCTTCACCAAATGTATGTGCACTGAGTACTTGTCTGAAGTGTTGAAGCCAGATAAAGCTACTGGAGAAAATGGATATATTAAAAAAAAAATATAAGACAATGATAAAGTTGTGATGTACTTGTAGATTGTTGACAAACTATCGGGTGCTTCAATTTTTGTCCATGATCTAACTAGATTACAAAAGTAACCAAATTGTGCCTTCCTAGTTTTTTTCTAATCAACAAGAAGATGGTGCACTACTGCATAATGGAACAATATCAAACAAAATATTTAAGTGAAAAAGATAGAATCCAAAGCTCTACAAATAGTGAGTACTCACCTTTTAACATGGAATAATTGACAAGCACTTCCCTACTCTCTGAAGTATTTGAAATAAGAGTCGGATAAGATAAGCCTTTTTCAAGAGAATAATTTTACACTTATTGAAAACCTGAGAAAAGAAGTAAG